CTTCTAATTGTAATCTTTCCAGATGTAGAAATTTTTTTTGTTGATATATATATACAATTAGTTAGAGACTCGTGCTGATAACATATTATGAAATAAAAGCAATTTAGTAAAACATGAACAAGAAATAAAGACAATTTAGTAAAACATGAACAAGAAATAGAGATAGAGAGAAAGGAAGAGATTTTCTTCTTCAATTGTGTGTATTTTTCTATCTATTACAAGGCCTTTATATAAGCATGAAAAGTGAAGAAAATATGTCATGGAATATGTCATTTAACATAGAAAATATATCATTGAATATGTCATTAACCATTTGAGAGAAAGATCATGGAGGAAGAGCAAACATCTATCATATTTTGATTTTTATCGTAACACTAAGATGTATTTTCACTAGCAACTCAACTTTTTAGACCTTAACTTCAGGCTCATAACCTTTTCTTGGGAAAACTCATTTGTTGCTTCTAGCAGCCCCAGTTTGTGCTCTATACTTGGCCACTAGCGCACTGACCAAAAGAGATAGAGATGGGGATTGGAGAAAGTGCCCGACTCAACTCTCTACTATTCTCCAATAAATTCACACGTCAGACCATCAGCCATTTCCCAAACTCTTCCACGTCACGTGACTCTGACATATATCACGTGACTTATTGCCTTTAATAATGCAAAGAATAGTAATATAACCTTTCTTCACGCGATCATGAACACAATTCCAACCACGCGGCTAACACCTAAATTACCTTTCTTCTAATCCAATCCAATTATTAAGGGGTCTTTTGGTCACCGAAACAAGAATATTAATCCCGATATAAAAGTTAGAAGGCAAAATTATCTATGAGCCACTTAAACTTGCATCAATTTGCCATTCCGATAAATAAACTTACAACTTTCCTATTTAGATGCTCAAAGTTGGGAGAATAAATATTACTAAATACCTTTGACCGTTGACCATACTTCTGTGGCAATGTCGTGGGTGATGTGGCAATAATGTGTGCCATTCACGCGAATTAAACGCGTGAATTTAGTTTATTGGAATAAAAAAATGCTAAAAAAAGACAGAAACTAAATATGAAAAGAAAAACCCAAATGCCTCCAGGTACCCCCCCTCCCCTCCCTCCTCATCTTCTTCATTACCCATCTCATCACAGTCCTCTTATCTCTTCCTTTTTCTTTTGTTTTTTTGTTAACACTTCTCCTTTCCTTCCAATTCTTCTTCTGTCTTGACACAAAAGAAAACTCTTTTTCCTCTTCCTCTGTATGTTCAGTCGTTCATAGTTCCAAAGAAAAAAATCTTCGAACTTAAAATTGAATCAGTAAAATCCGTAGTATTTCACAACAAAGGAATCGAATCTTAAAAAATGAGCAGCATAAGAACATGTTATGACTTTTTGGTGACGATATTCTCGCCGAACAGTAAAGTATTTTAGATCGAATATGCTGGAAAAGTCGTCGATAACAGTGGAAATGAATTATTCAGTGGTGCTTAAAGGTTCTATGATTGAATTATTTAGGTGGGCTCCTGGCAGAGCTATGGTGATGAAAAAAGGAAAGAAAGAAAATTAGAAATTCAGTAAATTGATTTTGAAAAAACAACTAGGACCCACAGATTACAAATGTCAAGCACTAAATGGTCTTACTATGTGATGTGTTATTCATGTAAGGCGATGGAGATAGACGCTTCAAAGGAGGGTTTATTACAGTACAAACGAATGAGTTAAAGTGTCTAAACGAGAAAAGTGTAAGTTTATTTACCGAGATGACAAACTGATGCAAGTTTAAGTGGCTCATAGGCTATTCTCCTTCCATCCGTGAATTTGAGGCAGGAGAAAAAGCGTAATTTCCCGGTCTCATAGGTTACCTTTCTATCTTCCTCCCCTGTCAGATGGAGCTGATTAGATCCACAGCCGAGATGGGGCCATTCCTGGAGTCAAAGAGTTATCACCCGTTGTATCATTGACGTGGATGTGGCTTCCTCGCATCATACCATCGTTTCATCGAAAGATGATTCGACGCCGTGATGCAAAGGCTGACCGGTTCTGCTTTATCTAAATCTTTCTGTTACTTCGAAAGTAGTTGCTTCAGCTTCAACCACTCGAATTTTCGATATTTCTTTTTATTTGTCATCATTCCGTTTTTACATTATTTAAATTAGAAAACAAAAGATTCAAGTTCGAATATTGCTCTTCTTTCTTATTTCAATGATATTATTATTTCAAAGATAAAAATATGAAGTCAAAATTTATTTTTTTTTGCCAAGTTAGAATTATAGATATCTTAGATTTAATTGTGGGTGTTAGCTATGTATACATTTTACACCAAAATAATAATATTAGTTATTATCCCATATAAAGATGGGATAGATAATTTCTTGGGGTATCTCAGAATTATAATCCCATGAATATCCTAGAACTGCATCAAATGACCCCTAAGGATATCGCGCTCTCTCTCTCTCTCCCTAATATGAAATATCTTAATTTTAACGTCCATACTTTTTATGTATGTATACCATTACAACAATAACAACAAAATCAGTATATTCTCACTAGTAGAGCATGGGAGGGTAATGTAGACGTAGGCCTTACCCTTACCTAGTAAAGGTAGAGAGACTGTTTCCAATGGACCATCGGCTCAGAAAAGGTGAGAAGAAGAAAGAAGACGAGGAATAAGAAAGAAAAGGAAGAGAAAAGAAAAAGAGGAAGAAGAGAAGAATAAGTAGTACCAAATAGTGACAAAAAGGAAATACTATAACGGAAGCAAACTCAACAACATGACGTAACATAATCTAAGATTATGAAGGTACCAAAGGCGGAGCCAGGATTTCAAGTTTATGAGTTTGGAATTATAAGCATATTAAGCTACAAGGTTCTACTAGTAAATCTACTAGTATGAAAAGGAGAAACTTACAACTACCTATTAACTTTATACCATGATCATTGACCTCCACACCTTCCTATCAAGGGTCATGTTCTCAGTAAGCTAAAGCAGTGCAAGTTTCCGTCTAGTCAGCTCTCCTCAGTACTTCTTTAGCCTAGCTCGACCTCTTCTTAGACCCGCCATGACCAACCTCTCACACCTCCTAACAAGAGCATCAATATTTCTCCTCCTAACGTGCCCGAACCATCTCAGCCTCGATTCCCGCATCTTATCCTCCACGGAGGCCACTCTCACTTTGTCCTGAATAACTTTATTCCTAATCTTATCTCTCCTGGTATACCACTCATCCATCTCAACATCCACATTTCTCCTACTTTCATCTTTTGCATATGGAAGTTCTTGATTGGCCAACACTCAGCCACATACAACATCATTGGTCTAACCACCACTCTGTAAAATTTACCCTTGAGTTTTATCGGCACATTCTTATCACATAGAACACCGGATGCGAGCCTCCATCCTATCTATCCCGCTCTAATACGATGTGCGACATCCTCGTCAATCTTCCTGTTATTTTGAATTATAGACACGAGATACTTGAAATTGCCTCTTTTGGGGATAACTTGATTATACCATTGCTATTATATTTTTCATATTTCTATTTACTCTAATGAAATTCCAACACGAAGGATGCCATTTGAAATTATTATCAAAAGTAGACAAATTTAATCTTTATTTTCCAGGTATTTTAACGCTTGGAAAATTCACAATGGATCTCCGTCAAGGTCAAAGACAAATACAAAATGATGGCAAAGATATAAATAAATTTAAAGTATAATGAATAATAAAAGTAAGATACTCATATAAAACAACAACAACAACAATAACAATAACAACCCAGTGTATTTTTATAAGTGGGGTCTGGAAAGGGTAGGATATACGCAACCTTACCCTACACTGGAAGGCAGAGAGACTTTTTCCAGTAGATCCTTGGCTAAATAAAGGATGGAAGAAGAAATGATAGAAAGTAATAACAAAATAGGATATTTGGAAAACTAATCCAAGATAGCAAAAAAGAAGATGAAAGAACTACTGATAGCAAGTAATAACAGTGCAAGATATGTAGTAATAGCAAACTAAGGGAGTACTGATGGCAAGTAATAACAGTACAAGATATGTGGTAATATCAAACTAAGGATAAAAGTAATGCCATACTAACACTAATACTATTGAACTAAGGAAGACAAAGGGAAACACTGGACTACCTACTAACCTTCTACCCTAATTCTCAACCTCCACACCCTCCTATCAAGGGTCATGTCCTCGGTTAGCTCAAGCTGCGCCATGTCCCGCTTGATCATCTCTCCTCAAGATTTCTTTGGCCTACCTCTACCCTTCCTCTTACCCACCAAGGCCAACCTCTCACACCTTCTAGCTGAGGGCATCTTTGCTTCTCCTTTTAACATGTTCGGACCATCTCAGCCTCGTTCAGTGCATCATTTCCTCTACAGGGGCCATTCCCACCTTATCTCGAATAACTTCATTCCTAATTCTATCTAACCTAGTATGCCTACACATTCATCTCGACATCCTCATTTCAGCTACTTTCATCTGCTGGACATGGGAGTTCTTGACTGGTCAATACTTTGTCCCATACAACATAGTCGGTCTAGCCACTACCTTGTAGGACTTACCTTTAAGTCTGAAGGGCACATTCTTATCGCACAAGATATTGAAAGCGAGCCTCCACTTCATCCACCCTGCTCCGATACGATGTGTGACATCCTCGTCAATCTCCCCATTACTGAATCACATACCCAAGGTACTTAAAGCTCTCTTTGGGAATGACTTGCGTATCAAACCTCACATCTCTGTCCGCTTTCTAGGTAATACCGCTGAACTTGCACTCACTAAATCAGACATTTTACCTTCAATAATTTTTACCACTAAATATATCCTGAAAGAGTTTGTTCCTTTCATCCTTAAATAATAATTTTAAACTTAAACTTTAGCAATAATATCTTTAGTAAAAATAATTACCCTTTTTAATGAGCCTACGAATTCCTAAAGGGAAAAGGAGAGAAAAGAATTACTTAAAGCTTCCCACGCGCCATAACTGAGATGGGTTTTTAATTATCATTGAACATTCAACATTTGTAGTAATAAAAACATTACATGCGGTGGTGTTGTCTCTGTCTATCACTCTATCTTGCTTGCCTGAATCTTGAGTCTTTGACTTTATCATTTTACTTCTTTTCCCCCTTGTACAAGACTACAAGTCCTCAATTATTTAACATACCACCTAAATCTTTTTACTATTTTTTTCATCATACTATTAATAATTATCTTTACTATCCATGAACCGCCCATTATCCTCGAAATTATTTATTCAATCCGGTCATTTTGCTGTAATTATTTTGCTCTCTTGATTTTCTTTGCACCCCCATTTGTTCTTTGTGCAAGAAGATGAAGTGGGTATCTACTAAAAGTGAAGGGAAAATGTTATTCAAGTCTAAATTGAAGTGGGTTGCTTTAGCTGGGCTAGTTCTATCCGCTCTTTCTCTTTTCACACACTTTCTTTTAGCTAAACAAACTTATGGAATTATTTCTGAGTACCATTCTTCTGTTACAATCATCTCTTGGAGACCTAAATTCAAGAAATCAGATCTCTCCACTAATGTAATTTGCTTAAACCCCTCCAAGATCTCATTTTTATAGCTTCTTGCTTTGATTTTCTTAACTTTTTTTAGCTTCAAATTCCTATTTTAGGCTGCTGCATTTGCTTACTTGAGTTAATGGTACTAAATTTAGTTTCATGGTACTTTTTTTTAATTCTAAAAATCAGGTCTGTTAATGCAATGTAATGTGCTTAAACCCCTCAAAGATCTCACTTTAATAGATTCTTGATTTAATTTTCCAGCTTATTTTTCTTACAAAACATCAAATGTCTATTTTTGTCTGCTGCATTTTGCTTGTTTTAACTAGTTGTAATAAATTTAGTTTCATGTTAGTCTGTTTTTTGGGTTCTAATGTTATGTAATGTGGTTAAACGCCTCCAAGATCTCATCTTTAGTTCTTCCTGTTTTCATTTTCTTACTTTTCTTTTTCTTTAAAATTCAGATATTTGTATTACACTGTTTCATTTGCTTGCTTGAGTATTAGGTAATAAATTTAGTTTCATGTTAGTCTGTTTTTTGGGTTCTAATGTTATGTAATGTGGTTAAACGCCTCCAAGATCTCATCTTTAGTTCTTCCTGTTTTCATTTTCTTACTTTTCTTTTTCTTTAAAATTCAGATATTTGTATTACACTGTTTCATTTGCTTGCTTGAGTATTAGGTAATAAATTTAGTTTCATGTTACTCTAGATTTTGGGGAGTCTGCTAATGTATTGTAATGTGCTTAACCCCTCCAAGATCTCATCTTTAGTTCTACCTGTTTTGATATTTTCCAATTTATTTTTCTTAAGAAACTTCGAATCTCTGTTTTGGACTGATGCAATTTGCTTGCTTGAGCTAGTTGTAATAAATAAAGCTTCATGTTATCCTGTTTTTGGGGTTAATTTGCCACTGTTGCTGGAGCTTGTTATGAGTATTCTTGTTAGCTAATAAAAAAATGGCAGCCCGGTGCATTAAGCTTCCCCTATGCGCGGTGTCCGGGAAGGGCCGGACCATAAGGATCTATTGTACACAGTCTTACCCTGCATTTCTGCAAGAGGCTATTTCCACGGCTCGAATCCGTGACCTCTTGGTCACATGACAACAACTTTACCAGTTACGCCAAGGCTCCCCTCTCTTGTTGGCTAATATAAAGGAATTCTTTTTCATGCAGAATCCATCTAACAGAAGGCTGTGGGCCCCAGTTAGGCGTCTTGAGTCTTTGCATCCTCATGCAAATCCAAGTGGAGATTATGCAGGTTACATCTTTATATTAGATGCCTCTTAACTTTAATTAAAACCTGAAATGTAAAGATTAAGAAGTCAGTTAGATCAGAGAAATATTGCATTATAGCTGCACATCTGTTTTGTACAAGATGTAATCTTTTTCTGTTACCGCAAGCATGTAAACTTAATTAACTGCATCTTCTGCTAACTGTAAACTCCATCAGTATTTTAACATATCTATAATCCATTCCGTTAGTTTTTTGAAATAAGCCTTGATATTTTTGTAGTGGAAGTTGTTGCATATGCTGCTGAGGCCATTCCTTGTCTGGTGCCAATCCTTTTACTAGATTAATACGATCTGATACTAGGCCAACTTCACACCTTATTTTTAATAATCTTTAACGTGCATTCTAGAATAAAGTAATTGAACAACATGAACTAGTAAATTATCTGCAGTGCTTGGTATTTTCCGATGCTTTTTCGACTTGTTACAATTTGTTTCGATGGTGATTTTATTGCAGCTCCTGAAATTCAATCAACTGGATTCATCTTTGTCAAGATACGTGGGGGTTTCCATGAGATTAGGAATGCGGTAAGGATACCTCTGGCACTTAATAGCATTGCTTTTAAATAGTCCAGCAATTTATTAGGCTTCCATTGTTTGCCAGATTTCTGATGTTGTTGCTGTTTCGAGGCTCCTCAACGCTACCCTGGTCATTCCAGAGATCCAATCAACCACAAGCAGCAAAGGAATAAGGTTCTGTCACATTTATTACTTCAAGCAAATTGATGCAAAAATTGAATGATAGGATCAACTTATTTTCCATAATGATGAGACATTTATATATAGAAAAAAAGATGAGACATTGGCCTAAGCTCTCAACCTTTTTTTTTGTTCTCGCTAAAAGAAAATTTTGTTTATCACTGCATTAAGAGTATGCAGGGCAGAATGCACTGAATAGCCATTGCATATTATTGATCACATCTCTCAACTTATGCAGTACACTTTAGGATATTAATGGGATGATAATCTATATTACATGCAACTGAGAAATGGAATCGATTCATTATACAGTTTGTTATTTCATTTTTGCAGCACTCAGTTCAAGAGTTTTCCCTACCTGTATAATGAGGATCAATTCATAGCAGCATTAGCAAAGGATGTCAAAATCGTAAAAACCCTTCCAAAAAATCTGAAAGGAGCGAGGAGGAAAAAAGAAATCCCTTCATTTAAAGTTCCTCATGGGGCATCTCCATATTATTACCTGCACCACGTTCTCCCTATGTTGACTAAGCACTCTGTGGTTGAGCTTCTTGTTTCTAGTGGTGGATGCTTGCAGGTAACATCCATTACCTTTATTTCAAATAAAATGTCCTCTTTGATTTTTACATGTTTTTTACCATCAAAACACTAAATTATGATGGTTCTTTGCATTAGAATTTTGAAATATGGTTTATCTTGACTAGAAGGACATCCAATTCGACAGAGTAGGAGAATTATATTTATAATAAAGAGGTGGAATCATTTTCATCTCTATTACACAAGCTCTTTGATTGCAACAAATTTAGACTTGAAATGGAAATATAATGGTGACTCTTTCCTTATCACCTAGCATCTACATATACGTGTACCTCTTGTATCTCCAGTACGTCTCATCTATATGTCACTACTCAAAAGAGCCAATAATTGTCATATCTATATTAAAGTATGGAACATAATGCACCATTGAAAAGAGTGGTGTAAATTGTAGAAGGTTGAGTTTGATTTAGGATAAGTGTTGTTGGGTATATAAGTTAACACGCCTTACACCCTAGTAACGCGTTTTAAACCCGTGAGGGCCTAGGCCCAGAGCGGACAATATCACTAGTGGGCCGGGATAATTCTGAAAATAAGGGAAAGTGAGAGGTGGGTTTTGGGTTTTCTTTATTTGTGACTTTGTCCCATTCCAATTTATGTGATTTAAGTGCAATATTTGAAAATAATTTTTTGAAGGGAAAAATATTTTCAAAAAAATTGCACATCACGAGATAAATAAATTTTTGATGACACAAGATGAAAACATTGGTGGCAATGATGGGTTACAGAGAAACCGAGATAAGCACATGGAGTAGACCTGGGTTCAAGTTTATTTTTAGAATAAGGTTTGAGCCAAGGATAGCATAGACAACCAAAAGTTTTAAGAGCATCATAATTGGGTATTTCACCAAATAATTTTTGAAATGGGGACTGGTTATTTAAAAGTGAGGTGGGAAGACGATTGATTAAATAAACAGCATGTTGACACATGAATGACCAAAAAATTGATGGAAGAGATGCCTCATAAAGTAGCGTTCTTTCACTTTCAATAATATGGCGATGGCGTCTCTATGCAAGAGCTACCCTTTGAGGGGTATAAGGTGGTGTAGAAAGATGCTCGATACCGTGAAGGGCGAGATAAGAGTAAGACTTTTATACTCCCCTCCACCATCAGTATAAAGTGATAAAATTTTGGTATCAAAGTGCTTTTCCATTAGAGGGTGGAATATTTGAAAAAGCTCTTTGACCTCACTTTTATTTTTTAAAGTATACAACCATGTATACCGCGCGTACTGATCAACAAACAAGCAATAATACAATTTTTTGTCAATGGATAGAACTGGAGAAGGTCCCCACAAATCACTAAAAATTATTTGAAGAGGTTTGGAACTTGTCAAACTCATCTGACTAAATGGTTGCCGATGGGCTTTATTAGATGAACAAGAATTACAAAAAAGAGACTTGTCTCGCTCAGAGAATGGAAGCGAAAATTTATTCAACATATACTTAAGAATTCTGAAATGCGGATGACCTAGTCTTCGATGCCATGTGGTCATAGAAGCCGTGGTAGAGGTGATGTGAGCTTGCGGAGGTGGTGGATGATATGACTTGGGCCACTCATACAATCCATGTTTATTCCGGCCTCGCACCAGTGGTACTCACGTTTTCAGATCCTTCACAAGAAAATCAAAAGGAAAAAATTCAGATCTCGCGAAACTCAGGGCCAAGTCCACTAAGGATTTTGGCAATGAGTTTGGAGTTGGTAACAGGGGCACCAACAGTGGCTAGTTCATCCGAAAAGGACCGAATACGTTGAAGGTATTCAGTAATAGGGAGGGAGTCTTTGGTGATTCGGGCAAGTTGATCACGAAGGCTAAAGATCCGAGTTTCGAACTTGTTTGCATAAGCAGTATGCAAAGAGTCCCAAGCCTATTTTGATGTGTTGACAGCAGCAACTGTGGAGGCATGGTAGGATCAACAGATGCCATAAGGGCGTTTTGAATGAGTTGATCCTGACGGAACCAAAGTGTATAAGCAGGTTTGGGGGTCGTGTTGGTGCCAAAAGTAGTGCTCGGGTTGGGAGTCGGAGTAGATCCATCAAGGTGACCATAGAGGTCATGTCCATGCATAAGCACGGAGAACTGAGTTTTTCAAGTGGAAAAATTGTGACCGCCACTAAGTTTGATTGGTAGTTGGGAAGCGGGGTTGAATTGAACTATGGTGTTGATACCAGTAGTGTTATCCGCTCTGGGCCTAGGCCCTCACGGGTTTAAAACGCGTCACTAGGGTGTAAGGCTTGTTAACTTATATACCCAGCATCTCTCTTGTGTTTTGCCGATGTGGGACTCTGTCTAAAGCGTGGGGTATTACATACACCCCTTATATGGACTCAGCGTCCTCGCCAAGGTTTGCCCCATCGCATGTGATTCGCCTAGACTTAGCACTGAGATTTGCCCCGCCTAACCGGGATTTGCCTATACTCAGTTGAACACTGACCCATCATCGGCATGGCTGACACAAGAGTGACTCTGATACCATATGAACACTTGAATAGATGATGGAAAACTGTATCTCTTATTGAATGTATTAATGAGTTTAACCACCTTTCTAGCGTTTCATGTAAACCAAATAACTAAAGAATCCTATCTAAACCAAATAGATAACTTTGAAGAACTAACTATGATATCATCTAATCTAGAAGATAAATGCAATCTAATCTAAAGAGATAAATGCTAGGAACAAACTGATAACTACTAGTAACAAGGACTGTTGGTCCAATAAGTGTAGTGTAAATATGTGTCATCCATTAATCAGAAATGTTTTAGCTGTGGTTGGTGCAGCAAATTTATTGTTGGAATGCTGCTTGACACTTTGTTGTTCTTTGGAATATCCAGTCCTATTTGTTCATCCTTCTTTTTTTGATGATGTATGCATCCAGTTCTCATATTCGTTCTAAATCATAATGTTCTTCACATTTTGACTATCATGTTTTACTGTGTATGAGTCAGTCTATTCTGCCCCCACATCTTGTTGAGTATCAAAAGCTGAGATGCAGGGTTGCTTTTCATGCCTTACGGTTCAGAGAGGAGGTCCAAAATCTCGCTATGATAATCTTGAATAGGTAACTTACTAGACCCTATTCCCCATAGAAATGAATATTATGTTTCATTATGCTTATTTCGTGTGTTCTTACAGACTAAGAGCTTCAGGACGACCATTTATTGCCTATGATCCCGGGATGACTAGAGATGCTTTGGCATATTATGGCTGTGAAGAACTTTTTCAGGTATATTTCAAAATTTTGGAGCATCAAATGGCAAATCAAGGTTTGGCTTTGTTTGTCGAGCATCTAACGCATGTTATGCCCATATATTTTTCCTCTAGGATGTACATACTGAACTCATCATGCACAGGCGTGCATGGATGATTAAACGTAGACTTCTGAAGGGGAATCTTTCTTCGGATTCAGCAGAAAACTATCGTAATGGCTTGTGTCCACTCATGCCTGAAGAGGTACGTTGCATACTTGAGTTTAATATAAAGTCTTTACACTAAATCTTGCATTGGCAAAAATGAGGACTTGTGACGTCCTCCCTGGCAATAACTTCACCCAATTTATCTAATGTTTTTCATGTTAATCACCCCCTTTTCATACGTTGAAGCTTGTCTATACTTTGTAGTCATGTGCTGCTAACATATTTATTATCATTTGTTCTTTATACCTCTGTTTGAACTCATTAAGTTAAGACATAGGAAAGTATATATTGAGAAACTTAATTCGAAATAATATTTAGGTATATGTTGAGAAACTTTAATTGAAATAATATTTAATCAAGTAAATTTTCCAACAGATTGGTATTCTCCTTCGAGCATATGGTTACTCATCGGACACTATCATTTATATATCTGGTGGTGAGGTCTTTGGTGGGTTGAAAAAGTTAATTCCACTGCATGCTATGTTCGAGAATGTTGTTGATAGGACGTCCTTAAGCTCAACAATGGAGTGGGATAAAGTATATGGCCGGGAGACAAACCTTGTTGACGAATATTCAATGACTCCACCTTCGGCTAACCTAGACATGAGATCGAAGTCATGGAAGACTTCTGGTCCACGTCCTCGTCCACTACCACCGCCCCCTGCACGACCGAAGATGTACAATGTTGAAGGTTGGTGGGGTTGGGTAGCTGAGAGCGATAACGAGCCAGAAAGTACTATTGTGGAGTTGAGAACTAATGCTCATCGATTACTGTGGGAAGCAATTGACTATATGGTTTCCATAGAAGCAGATGCATTCATCACCGGATTTGACCGTGATGGTAAAGGAAACCCAAATCTTGCTAGTTTGGTCGCGGGACATAGATTTTATCAATCTCCTGCATCTAGAACTTATGGTCTGGACAGGTAATGTATTCCAAAGCAAACTTTGTTGTTGGTTGCCTATTCTCTCGCTCTGATCCTGTCATGTAACTTCCACTTCTTTTTTCCCCCTGTCCTCCTGTTCTTTCCTTAATCAGGACCATGTGGTAAATGGGCTTAAAGTTGGTTCTCTGTCATGACTGAATACAACATCTTAACTACTTCAAAAATACAAATTGGGTATTACATGTCAAAACTAAGTCATTTTTGTGGCTGACTTACTCTGTAGCTCACCACACAACCATTTGACTAAACTCAGTGAGTTAAAGTGCAAAATGATGTATAACTGAATGTGGATTAATCATTAACCTCTATTGTCCATGTTTCTTTTAACTTTATAATCTATGACCATTCTTTTTCTTGTACTCAAGATACTAGGTGTATGCTAGTTAATTATACTGTAAACTTACATGGCCTTATTGGGTATTACATGTGAAACTAAGTTACTCTGTAGTTTGACTTGCTCTGTAGCTCAACCTGCAACCGTTGATTGAATTCAGTGGGATAAATTGCAAAATGATGTAATTGTATTTGGATCAATCATTGACCTCTGTCGTCCATGTATCTTCAAATCTTTTATCTGTGGTCAATTTCTTCCTTGTACTCAAGTTACTAGGAGTATGCTAGTTCAAGTGAACGGTAGCTCTACATGGCTTTATTGACTTTAATTTCTCGTTCTGTCATACATTGAAACTAAGGACATATGCCAAACGGAATATAGTGGTGATAAGACGGGGAAAATAAAACATTCTAAGGTCTGTGCTAGTTGATCGTGTACTTGCTTGTTGACCAATTTGTGCATTCTTGCTGCAAATTTACCTGCATGTCAACCTACTTAGATCTCCATATTTGCCTTCACAATTTGGAGAATTTTGGGTTATTAACAGAAGTAAGACTACTTAGATATTAGAACATGAACACACATTTCTTGACAGGTTTGTTATTTCTTGTTATCTGAGTTGATGCAGGAAGGAAATTGCTAAACTTTTTGAAGAGATTCGTGAAAGTCTGTATCAACCCAACCGTACCTGGATAACATCACTGCACAAGCAATTAAGAAGAAGTTTAATGGATGGATTGTTGGAAGAATCCAAGAAATCCAAACCACTGTCTTTTCTTTCATTTCCAGTTCCTGAATGTTCTTGCATGGTGGATGATTCTACCAAGAGTCCAGTCAATGCTTCAAGTGGTCCTTTGCCACATTCTGAAATTCCTGTTTTTCTTGGACAAGTAGATCCATGCCCTGCTTGGATGAATGGCGCCACTTCTTCTCAGTCGAGGGAAGAAACTGAAGAGGACAACGAGAAAGATGATTCCACCTCTTTAGGGCTGTTCTTTGGGCTGAGTAATGGTAATCAAGAAGGTGAAATTGGAGACGCGAGCAACAAAGAAGAAGCTCTAGTGGAGGATCAAGAAGAGCTTGAAGGGGGTGAAAGATGAGAGTAGAGAATTAAGTTATCAGAAAAGGAAACTGCATCGGATTCTTTTTAACAATACATGCAGAATAGGGAAGCTCGTACGACTTGAGGTAAGCTTAGCTAGACAAAAAGATGCTGCAACTGACATAACTGATTGTTGGAAATCCAATTTTGGTGGAGGGATAGTTGTAGTTTAGGATGGCACTTGATGTCTGATCAGGTGGCTAAAAAATGGCTGCATATGGTGTAAAGTATTTCACAATTGCTTAGAGCTAGTTAAGGGAGAGTTTAAGCTCTATGTGAAGAATATTTACGCTATCACGTCATTCAATGTTACAGTAGGAGAAAAAAAAGTGAACTGATATATGCCCTGAAACACAGCCACAATTGAGATGAAGTCTTGTATGACTCAGAAGTTGCAACTGATCTGATGCTTATTATTTACTCCAGAATAGTTAGTACTAACTGGATGCGCACTTGTGCTGCCTTGATTATAAGTAATTCTTGACCTAATCTAGAATAGAATGAGAATAAAGATTGTAATAAGCTTTTATTCGTGATGCTCTTTTTGTATGACTTTTTAAAAGGTCATATATCTTGGGACTTATTAGCATATAACCATGTTATTCAATCTAATTTAGCAACTTTACCAGTAAAGGCACCATTTATAATTTTTTGTTGTATTTTGTTCAAACTTAGCTGGAAATTAATACTAGTAGATAATGCATTCCATTATTCTACCCATGATAAGAGAGAAGCATAATAATATAAACAATGAGCAATGTAGAAATATTAACAATGATATAGTGCTAACTGCAGAGTTCTAGAACCTTCATTACTGATTAAGAGAGTGAAAAGAAAAAAAGGGGAGAAGATTAGCTTTTCTAGAGAATCAACTGAATTTTTATTCATTAGAAGTTGTAATCTGTACAACAATCGTGTGTATATATACATGAGCATCTAGACCTCACTAATCCTCACTTAACTTAGCTGGTGACAGCTGTCACCTACTAACAGACTTTACCTAGCTTACAGCTTCTAACTAACTCTAACTACTTCTAACTGTCTTCTATGCTTCAACACCCTCCCTTAAGCTGATGGTTGAAACACATCCTTCAACCCCAACTTGGACAATAGATAGTCATGTTGTGGCTTTCCTAGGCTTTAAGTGAGAAGATCAGCCTGCTGTTCTTTTGTGGGGATGTGATGTGTTTTCACTGCTCCGAACAATCTTTTCTCTAACAAAATGACAGTCTATATCAATATGTTTTGTGTGTTCATGAAATATGGGATTGGATGCAATTTGAATCGCAGTATTACTATCACAATATAGATCAATTGGCAAATGAACTTCAACACCTAGCTCCTTGTATAGACCTGTCAGCCATGTTAACTCAGCTACTACTGAGGCCATGCTTCTTAACTCTGCTTCTGCAGAGCTTCTTGCCACAGTATCCTGCTTTTTTGACTTCTATGAGACTAGAGTACTCCCAAACTTCACCAAGTAACCTGTAACATATTTCCTTGACTGTAAGCAGCCTCCCCAATCTAAGTCACAAAAGGCTTCAAACTTCCCAGATCCCTCAGAGGGCATCAACAGCCCCATGCCAGGTGCATTCTTGATATATCTTACCACTCTTAGTGCAGCTTCCCAATGAGATTGCTTGGGTTTATGCATGAACTGACTTAGTACTTGAACAACAAAAACAATATCTATCCTTGTCATGGTTAGATATAGAAGCCTTCCAATTAACCTTTGATACTGACTAGCATCAATTAACAATGTGTCCTTTTCTGCATCTGAGTTTTGAGTATTTACTGCAGCTTGATTGTTTATGAAGGTATCATAATCAGCAGAAGTAAGCTTCTGATTAGGCTTCAAAGGAGAAGCAGCAGGTTTAGTTCCTCCATGCCCCATTTCAGCAATTAACTCCAAGGCATACTTCCTTTGATTCATGACAATTCCCTCCCTTGATCGAGCAAACTCAATGCCCAAGAAAAATTTGAGCTCCCCAAGATCTTTCATCTTGAATTTGAGCTGTAGATCACATCTAGTTTGCAGGATCAGGTTAGGACAATTACCTGAAACCAAGAGATCATCCACATACACTAGCACAAGAACCAGCTTAATCTCCACCTTTTTTGTGAAGAGAGAGTAATCAAAATGACTCGGGGTGAAATCAAGTTGCAGTAGAGCATCAGTCAGCTTCTTGTTCCACTACCTTGGAGCCTGTTTAAGGCCATACAAGGACTTGTGAAGTCGGCAGACTTTGCTAGACCTCCCTGAGTAGAAAACCCCTGAGGAATTTCCATGTACACTTCCTCAACTAGATCTCCTTGAAGGAATGCATTGTGTACATCCATTTGAAAGATTGGCCAATGATTAGCTGCAGCAACAGCTATTACAGACCTAACTGTGACCATTTTGGCCACAGGAGAGAAAGTCTCTGTGTAGTCCAAGCCTTCTTGCTGACTATATCCTTTAGCAACTAGTCGAGCTTTGTATCTCTCAATTGCACCTGAAGCTGTGTATTTAACCTTGAACACCCATTTGCACCCAATAGGGACTTTAACTTCTGGAAGATCAACTATACTCCAAGTATTATTCTTTTGTAGAGCAGTGATTTCAGATCTCATAGCTGCAATCCACTTGGGATTCTGAACAACTTCTTTGTAGGTTTTTGGCTCAACAATAGCTGAGTATGTAGAGAGAATAAAGCTATAAGCAGAGGAAATATTAGAGTAGCTGACATAGTTGGAAAGAGGATAGCAACAATTAGATTTTCCCTGAGACTGAACCACATAGTCCTTCATCCACAATGGTGGCTTGGAAACCCTTTGAGATTTCCTGCTAAGCTCAGGTGCTTCAGGAGGTAATACAGAAGGTGAGACATCAACAACCAATTCTGCAGGTGGAGTATTGGGGTGTACATCAGTAGCTACATCTGGAATCTCAGCAGAGATAGAAACATCAGTAGAGTGCTCAGTATCATTGAGCTCAAGAGAGATAGTAGTAGGAGCAGTAATAGGATCATCCTGAAGGGGCATTGTCACTCTACTGTCAGAGATATCAGAAGATGAGAATTCTAAGATAGGGAATAGAGATGATATAGGCAGGTCAGTATGTTTAAAGGGGTAAACATCCTCTTTAAAGACCACATCCCTACTCACAATGAACTCCCTTGACGTCAGTGTATACATTTTGTAGCCCTTTTGAACCATTGAATAACCAAGAAAAACTGCTGGAACAACACTAGGAGCAAACTTATCTATTTTTCTCACCTCTGACACATAACCTAGACACTCAAATACTCTCAAGTGAGCAATAGATACAGGGGAACCATGCAAAGTTTCATAAGGGGTCTTGTCTTTGAGAGTGGAAACATGTACTCTATTTATGAGATACACTGTTGTAGAAACACACTCTCTCCAAAATATAAGAGGAACTGAAGCCTGAAACCTGAGTGCTCGAGCTACATTGAGTATATGTCTATGCCTTCTTTCAACTACTCCATTTTGCTGTGGAGTATAGACACACGAGCTTTGATGAATAATGTCAAGTGTCTGAGTAGGTCTGTCATCTGAGTGTTGAAAAATTCACAGCCATTATCTGTTCTAAGAACCTTAACAGTTGAAGAGTAAACATTTTGTACCATTAGAAAGAGATTTTTGAGAACAACAATTGTCTCAGCCTTTGAAGGTAATAAAAAGATCCATGTGAATCTGGAATGATCATCTACCAAAGTTAAGAAGTACCTTTTCCCACCATAGGTAGGGACCCTATAGGGATCCCACACATCACCATGAATCAAATCAAAATTTGAATGAGCAATTGAGGAGCTTACTGTAAATGGTAGCCTTGTTTGCTCAGCCAAAGGGCACACAGTACAATGCTTCTCAACGTTCTCAAGATGCACAGATTGGAAAACACTTACTTTCTTCATTACAGCTAAAGGTACATGACCTAATCTCTTATGCCACAGCGCTACACTTATTTTGTTATTCTCTATGGTATTTACAGTGAGAGACTTTGGAGGTGAGCCTGGACTTCTTGTAACAGATGCCCTAGCAACTTCCCTTATTACACTTTCAGAGGTGAGTACATACAGTCCACTGTCTTCTCTACCAATCCCCTTCACCTGTCCATTGAAGAGATCCTGAAAGATGCAAAAATCAGGAAAGAACATAGCTACACACCTTAACTCCTTTGTAATTTTTGAGACAGATAAGAGGTTATATCTGAACTCAGGAATGTGCAACACATTAGTTATCCTGTGACCAGGAAAAATGTATGTAGAGCCTATGTGTTTAACTGTAGCTACATCTCCTGTGGGTAGACATACATTTCCTTCTTTAGAGTTTCCCAAGGTTTTTAAGTCAAACAACATGTCAAGTCTATGTACCATATGGTTAGAAGCTCCAGTGTCAATTATCCACTTAGGTTTATCTGTAGGAACAATTATACTATATGCCATACATGCTGCCATATCTGAACCACTATTTTCATTCCCTTTTCCTAGCATTTGCATGATCTGATTGTATTGCTCCTGTGTGAATTGAGGGATTCCTCATATAGTAACTTGATTGTTGGAAGGATTGAGCACTTGTGAAGAGGCTGATGGATTTCCAGAAGAAGTTGCAAGGTTGATTGAAGTCCCATATGTTCCTCCAGTAGGGTTGTTGGAAAGCTGACTTTCTCCTGTGTATGAAATGGAATTTCTTGAGGGAAATTTCTTCTTAGGCTTGAAATATGAGGGAATCCATGTAGCTTATAGCATGTCTCCCTAGTGTGACCCTTGAAGTTACAGTAGTCACAATGTAGCTAATTTCTTCTCTACTTGAAGTTGCTATTAGATTGTGAAACTCCTTTGTTGCTGGATAAGGTTGGATTAGAGTTTATAGAGCCAGGAGGATAGGAACCAATTCTGTTAGTGAATTGAGCTTGATTAGGATGATTTTTGTTAGTGAATAGAGCAGTTCCTTTATGAACTTCAGAGACATTTATAGTATGATTAGCCAGAGATCTTCTACTTTCTTCTGTGATTATCATAGAGTAGGCTTTGTTTATGGAAGAAATAGGAGACATATTCAGAATTTGATTACTAGACTGTGCATATGACTCGTTTAGTCCCATTAAGAGTTGCAGCATTCTCTGATACTCAAAGTGTTCCACATACCTTTTAGATTCTTCACATCCACATCCAGGGCAGGGCATAAGTGCATCAAATTCATCCCACAGTTCCTTTAGCTTTGCAAAATAGGAGGATAATGACGAAATGCCCTGTGATAGAGTAGCAATCTGTTTGTGCAAATACAGAACTCTAGAGCCATTTACCTTCTCAAAACTTTCTCTGAGATCACTCCACACTTTGTGAGCACTTGTGGCATATACCATTCCACTCAGCAATTCTGTTCTCATAGGGTTCATTATCCATGAAAGTACTATAGCATTGCACTTCTCCCACAATTCATGAAGAGAAACATCAAATTTATCCTTCGAGTACCTTCCATCTACAAAACCTACTTTACTTTTTCCTAGCAAACTAACACGCATAGAGCTGCTCCATAAGGCATAGTTTTCATATCCAATTAGCTTAATTGAGATCAAAGAGC